TGGGAATTTACGTTTATTTCGCAATACTTCTGCGATTAGACGTTGTGAAATTTTATGAGTTTATTAAGTATAACATGAGCCTGTTCAAGTGCAAGCTGAGACTCGTTCACAATACAGAATGTTGGATCGATTTGTTCCGTAGTTTTGTGTTGTGAGAATCCGTAAACTAGAAGTTGTACATTACTTTACGGGCACCTTGATGGGCATGTTGCAAGTGCCATATAAAAAATGTTTAACACTTTTTTTTTACATATAATATATACACCAAAAGAAAAATAACAAACACAAGACAAACAAAGAATTGCACTGACCCAAAGATCGTGTTAAACAAGATAGTTCACTCCTCTCCTTGAGTCAATTAAAAACAAATGTCCTCCAAATTTGTTGGCACTCTCTTCGAAAAAAAAACCGCGGACTTTGCGTACAAAGTTACCCTACTTGTGTGAAAAACAATAAAAGTGAAACTAACAAACTGTGCTATTCCTATTCTTCTTCTGGAGAAACGGAAGAGAGCTTCAAAACACAAAACAAAGTCTTGCAGAGCCATCTGAAGCAATGCGCGGACTTCCGCAGACATTTTTTTGTCCGAGTGAACTATCTTGTTATGTACGATCTTTGACTTGTTCGAGCCTTAGCTCGGTCCGACGTTGTGTCCTTGGGAAAGGCACTTTACATGAACTTGCCACTTGGCTCGGTCCTATCGGAGACGTACGTTAAACTAGGACGTCCCGCCCCTTTAATAACCTAATAGTGTTGATAGGGGCGTTAAATCCATACCATTTCACCATTTTTCTTTGACTGACCTTAAGAATCACATTGACCTATCGCTCAGCTGTGAACTCAAGCACCCTGCCGTGACAAAAGAGTGTTATATGACAGGGTTTCTTTTTTATACCTGCTCCTTTACAGCCCTACACCTTCACACGAATGGAGATTTATTATTCCTCATAGGTGGATAATGTACACCATTAAGATGCTCTCAAGCAAGACGGACGAAAAAGTAATTTACAGCACGTTAAAATTTCTGTACACGACGCGGTGGAATCAGGCGCTCGTCAATTTTTGGGCGTATATGGAGCTGCTCTACTGGTAAAATCTTAAAGTTTGTTTATTTGACTTGCTTTTGGTGAAAAAAAATACCCATCTTTCTTGAACAGAAGTCAAGAAAATTGAAATTGAAATAGGTGAGGGGTCGCCTCGAGTCAGAGGTGAAATTAGAAAGAAAGTGGTAGCCAAAGTTTGGTCGCTTAGGAAACTGGGAATTTACATTTTATATTTTTGATTAACGCTTTTCAGTTAAAGTGCACTCCAACATGAGGGTTTATGTGGACATAAAAGGGGCTGAGGAATAAAAAAAGACGAAAAGAAAAACCACATTCGTTAAAAATTGTCGAACGGGCGAAACTGTGTTGATTGTTTCGATGTCATTAAAGATCCCTTGGTGGTCTAAGATCGATAAGAGTAGGCTTCGGCCGCCACCAGGGCAAAATTCAAAATTTCCTACTAACTGAAAATGCTTGGTGTGTCCCGCGCACTCATATGACCTTATGCAATTGCGAGCACCGTGAAACACATACAAAAAGAAAAAGAAATGTCATTATCTTGACGAGCGCCTGATTTCTCTACAACGCCATATTATCTGTGGAGGGTTATATCTTCCTCGACCTTCTTCTCTTGTTATTGTTCTATTTGCTGTGGTAACTTTGTAGTACGGTTGTCATCATTTAACACTGGTCTTATTTCGCTACCTGAGAATTACAAAGTTCTATTTGCTCAGTACATAATTTTGAGAAATTTGAGGTTAATAATTTTGAGTTTCACAATACGTCAAGCTTTTTCAAATGCAGTTCTTTGAATATCTGGATAACGAATCAGAAAAAAATCTTATAATTTTGCTAGAGCAGAAAGAGCATTTGTTTTTATTGTTTTAATCTCATGGTCTTAGTAACTCGGGACGGCCAAAAATGTCGGGATACAGGTATCGTGGAGATCTTATATTATCCTATCTTAACTTACCTTATCTTACCCTGGAGTATCTTATCTTATTTTATCTTATCTTATCTTATTCTCTATACAGTACTCACCAAGCATACTGACAGTTTTAGCCTCTCCTTTCTTCAGCAGAAAACTCTCCATAATTCCAAACCAGCCGTTGGGGTAAGGGGGCGGGATCTTGCCCACCTTGCGTCGCTTCTGCACCATACTGGCGGTTTCTTTGGTGGAGTAGGCTCCCTCTGGGATGTAGCCGATGTCCCCAAGTTTGCGCACCCGGTTCAAAGGTCGGAAAAACACGGCCCACACACCGTACAGCACGCCAGCGAGCACCGCAAGTTTTGCATACGTCAGAGGGTCCGTCATATCCGGTACGGTGGTGACGGCAGTGAGCAGACGAGACGCCAGGGTCTCAACGGCCTTGACCCACAGACTTCCGACCTCCATCAGCGGGATTTGCCGGATTGTCTCGCTAACTGAAGCGGAAACCGCCAAGATCAGGACACAAATCAACACCAAGACGCGACCTTGTATCATTTTGACGACGGAGAATTCTTCGGAGACAGAAATAAATAGCACAGCTCTACACCTGTGACTTGTTTTCCCTTTGTTTTATTCTGGTCACTCAAGTTTCTGCTGTCACGATTCAGTAATCTTGTCTGGTAGAAACAGAAATCCTCTGAGGGGGACAAATATAATGATTGTCAAATGAAATGCCGAACAATGCCCACCGAGAAAGGTGAAACTTTCCTTGCTGTGTTCGCTGCTAGTTGGGTCTCTCTCAGTTGCTGAAGACCTGCAAGAAAAATGACATGTTTATAATTCCCTCGTCAAGCCGATAAGGAAAGTCAAAAAGTTTCACAAAAACACTAGAGAGAAGAGAAGAGAAAAGAAGGGAAGGGAAGGGAAGGGAAGGGAAGTGAAGGGAAGAAAAGAGAAGGGAAGGGGAGAGAAGGGAAGGAAAGAGAAGAGAAGGAAAGGGAAGGGACGAGAAAGGAAGGGAAGGGAAGGGAAGGGAAGGGAAGAGAAGGG